GGCTAAAAGAAATTCAATCCGGCACGTGTCGCGCCACTCGGTCCGTCTCTTCTCGTTTGCTTTCTTCCCTCGCCGTCTCGTCGGTCTCCTGCCCCCCTCCCGCCCCATTGGTTGGTGGCTTGTGGTTTCGTTTGAGCACCCGTTGTCGGCTGGCCTCTTCTTCCTTCTCGTGCCAGGAGGTCATGAACCTATCAGCTCCCTGCAGCACCGCCGCGTGTCAGGGTACTCCCCCCTCCACCTTCGCGACTTCCGTCCACTTTGACTTCGGTGCCGTGTCTTTCGGTACCGGAATTCCGAGACAACATGGATCGGTTTTCGTAGATCCGTGGTCGGCCCCGAATGCCTTCAGGTCGTCGAGCACACACTTCGGCCAATTCTGTTCCTGTCCCCCCCTACGTCGCATCTCCCCCCCTGCCAGTTCGCTGAGTATCAGTCGTTTCGGGAGTCGCCCGTCCGGCTGCCTTGCCAATGCTCCCGCGAACAGTAGGCGTCGTTGTCGGATCGTGGCTTCAACGCTCTGGCATTCGACCCTCTTCAGCGTCTGGGCGTAAGAGAGCTGCCGGTAGGTGTCTTTCTTGCGTTTTTACCCGATAACTTGAAGGAGCAGTCGGTGGTGTATCGACCGCAGCATTGGGTTGTTTTTGTTGTTTGTTATTTTCCTTCACATTAAACTCGTGTCAGTTGCTAATTCCAAAATCTAGCGAAGACTCGGTCCGTGGTCACAAAAATGCTAGAGCCATCAGAAGATCTAAATAACACACACACTGTAGGCAAGAAAAGGGTACGCAAGCCCGAGGAGGTACACCTGCGATCCCTGCACCACGTTTGCATGCTCACAACTGAACTACACGCCCACACACTACAATTCGACTACAGCAGCAACATCACCCCCCTTGTCCCGCATTTGACCAAAATGAATGTTTGTCGACTACAGCGTACTGCTGTCTGAAGTGCTGTCTGTACAATAATAACACCATATGGTGCATGGTACACAAGCTCGGGGCGTGCAGCTGCTGTCTGAAGTGCTGTCAGAATGAGTCCATGGACATACAATGAAGAAGAACACCCAACCAAAGCCATCATTGCAATTGACAATCACCCGAATCTATCCAGATCATCTTTGTTAGGCACAGCAGTGAAAACATCGACACTGACTAGGAATCGTTCCACATTGAAGCGGTCTTCCGCGATGCAGGTACACAATGAAAAGCACCCGGGTTATCCGCGCCATCTCTGCCGTGTCTCTCTACAAAACCTGTGACGTCATCACATACACCCCAACACCTGTATTATTCAGGAAAAAAACGGAACAATAATTGACAACACAAGAGATGTTTGTCCGTGCGCCACGGTTCGATGCCGTCCGCCTGCTTCGGTGCCGCTGCTCCGGTGCCGCTGTGGCCAGTCCTAGCACGACCAAACTCGACCCGCTACGCTTCGTACACGCTCTCGTTGCTGTCCATCCCAGTCGGTTCCTCGCTTTGTCCCTCGTTGCACTTAGGGTTCTTGGTCTGAAAATTCTCGCGCCGAAGGGTCAACCAGCCCAATCAGCTCGTCACCACCTGTCCCCTCCTCCTTTGATGGCAAAACCAGGTTACTGAGACAGAACAGCTCCCTCTAGCAACTAGCAAACCTAGGGCCGTGTACTTAGTGCCCGTCCACCATGCTGATGACGTCTGCCTCCGCGCCCAAGGATGAGATGGGCATTGCTGCCTACACCGCCGGCCTGGAGGCCCGCGCATCTGCACCTTTGTACCTGACGCACGAGTGCCGACCCAACTCTACCACTACGCACGCCTCGCGGCGGGTGCGCCGCAGCAAGAAGGTATCGGTCCCTTGAGGGTGAGTCTAGCTCTGCTCGCTAGAAAGACCCCCCCCCTCGGTATGGGTCATGCCTACGCAAAACCTTGCCGAGGCAGCGAGGGGAAGAAAGGGATGTGGATGGAGGGTGCCGAAAAATGACATTTGGATGGAGACCCTACAGAATCTTCCTATGCTGAAACTCGATAACAGAAAAAAGAAAGAACAGTTAATTCGATGTCGACTTTGTCGAACAGCAACAGCGCTTTTGCGAACAGCAACAGGGTCGTGCGCACGTCGCAGGATCGTTGGGTTCGTAGAAAGTAGTGCGACCTCTCACGCTCTCACGCACGCCCATGAGCCCGCGCAGTCCTTTGGCTACGGCCCCCATCACTCATCCGCTCGAGCCCAAGACACGTGTAGTCCATGCGAAAGCGTCGGCGGAACGTGCCATCATCCACCATCGGCTTCGCGTATGTGTACCAGCAACGGTGCTCGCGGCGCACGAAATTGTCGCGGATTTGCGGGGCATCATCGCCATCATCCATGAGAACTATTATCGTCAACAGCTCCAGGAGCTGTTCATGCGCTTCTTCGTCTTTCCCCGCAGCCATGAGCGTCGGCTGGCAGGAGCGCGAGCCATGTGTTTGGTTGTGCGGCGGTGCGGCGCACGGCGCACGCAGCCACTACTTGCTCCGACCGGTGGGCTGTTCGCTGCTTCTCGTGGGTTCTTCGCGCGTCTTTTCTCAAATACAGCTTTGATTTTGGCAGTTTTTCGATAAGACACCACCGTCGAAATTTCACAAGTTCGGGCGGCTCTTTAGGACTTGAAACTGAATTTTGATATCGATTTTCGATTTCTATTCTGTCGATAAGACCGGGCCTAACGACATGCCATTACACAACACGGTAAGTATGTTATCTCGCGTCGCACATGCCCCCATACATCACACACAAAAAATATGTTGATTACGAGTACATACACAGCCCGAGAAGCGCTTGCTCCGCAACCCCATAAAGGGTGCCATATAATAGAACACCCCACAAACCGAGTTCCACCAAATCTTCGGTCTATAACTTCCCAACATAACATACAGATAGGTACACAAGATGGCTACCAAACTGCCTTGTTGAGCCTGTGACCCACAGGGGAGATATCGTTGTATGCTGTCTGAGAAACCGTAGACATACAGGTACCTTTTCGCTCACGCTATGGATTCATTGCTAATCTATCTTAGACGTATTTCTATAGAGAAAGATGGATTCGTTGTGTGATATTAAGAAGAAAAAAAAAGGTACAAACCACTTAACAACTCGGGAAAAGCAGACAAAATGATAAAAAGAAAGGAACAGCTACCGCACCGACCGGGCGAGAAAAGAGCCCTCGGAAACCGATCAAAATATAACAAAAACAAAGATAAAGGAGGACGCTTCCCACACCCGCCTAAGGAAAAAATCAAAGGGTAACGTACCAGCACCAGGCATTACGCACCAGGGCATGGTAGCAACGGGGCCAACAGAACAAAGAGGCGGCAGATGGGCAGACAGCCAGACGTACGAAAACAACGGCAACAGCAAAAGCGAGATCCAGGTACCCAACACGGCAGAGTAGGCAGGAAGGACATGAGAAAAAAGAAACACAGCACAGAGGCCGAAGGCAATACAAAGGACATACATAAGGGTTATAGCGTACAACAGGGAGGGAAACTGGGCGCAAAAACATCAGCCGGGTACATAGTTCGCCACAAGTGCTGCCTCGGCCGCCCTACTCGCTTCTACAGCAGTGCCCGGTCGCCGTTTCTTCCCCCCCCACCGCCGCTTCCCGGGCTCTCTTTCTCTTCGGTCCTGAGATGGCCGTACTCTCTGCTTCTGCTTCCCTCGCGCGCTGGCGCTTCGCGGACGCTTCCGCCTCCTGCCTGTGCCGTTTCCTCATGAACCATGCCGCCCCGTGCTCGACCTAATTGTACCACACCTCCGGGTCCTTGGCGCTCTCTTTCCATTTCCCCCCTTCCTTTTCGACTCCCATGTTGAAGGCCACGAGGTCCTCTTCTAGACGAGACACCCAGTCGCTCTCCTGCCCGCTCCGGTATCCCACGCCCCCCGCCAGTGTTGTCACCGAAAGTATGACTACTCACTGCTGTAACTCTTTCAGAGGTTGTACATGCACCCGGTCATTTCAGAGGTTGTACATGCATACCGTATATGACACATGATAAGACACCCCCTTGACCAATTTTCGAAGCTCGATTTCTCAACTGGAGGAACAGCCACAGCGCCGAAAACGGCGGCGTTGAAACCGTTCTCGTCGAGAGCTTTTTCGAAAATATATCGTTTCGTTTATGCATCCTCTTCGTCGTGGAGTAATTGAGCTTTGAAAATCGGTCCAGGGGGTGTGTTATCTTGTGTCATATACGGTAGACTATTCATAGGCGATCGACTACACTATACACTCAACACTAAACCATGCAGGTATCATTCACCTGCTGGAGATTTGTTCTGCTGCGTTTCAAACACATGAAACTTGTGCCATCTCTAGAAGTTGAGGCGAAAAGTCAAGTGATGTGATTTTTTCACAGATGAACGCATTCATCCGACGCTCGTCACTCATCCTGATCTACACGCCGTGGAAGAGAGAGCATGTTGTAGCATCGCGTGCCGATGTTTGAGACAAAGAGTAAAAGAGTCATTAAGCGCTGGTCTTGCAGCAGCAGTCGATCGATGACATCATTTTGTCATCTTCCCGCGGTATTTATCTCTTTAGCTATCTACTTCGTAGTAGTCTCGCTGAAGAGCAATAATGCAATATAATATTGCAGTCACACTGACAACATGTGCGGCGATAATACCATCATTAAAATACCAAGGTTGCTCATCCGTTGGCGGGTCAAGAGAAGCAAACAAGTTTGCTTAGACGGAGGCCTTTGTCTCATGCAATCTACGCTGTACAGTCGTTGGCCCGCTTTAGCGGTCCATAGTGTCAAGAAAAATAATCACCGCCATTCAGGGCATCGCCGCTAAACCTCTTTAGCGGTTATGAACCGCTAAACCGGGAGGCTCAATAGCGGTGATGAACCGCTAAAACCGGGAAAAAAACTTTTTCGCTCAACGAGAGCAGTATCGAAAGTTAATCTTGATGTAGGGGCTGCATGTGTCTCGTTGCAGCAGTCATACAAGGGTGCAGATACAGAAGAATCGACGCTAAGGATGGCAACACAGCAAGCACATCAGTACATTGCAACTCACGAAAGCGCAAAGCTTGTTTTCCCTGATGGACTATATGCCGTTCATCAAGACTGTAAAATCGATCCCATCTCTAACAGACCTGGGGCAAGTTCGTGACACCGCAATGGCAACCAACCGCGTGTGCTTGAGCAACTCATTTGTACTATGTGTCGCGTGTATCGACCATGCTTAACTCAACCTCTCTCTGATATTCGCCTATGTGTCGCGTGTATCGACCATGCTTAACCCAACCTCTCTCTGATATTCGCTTCGAGGAACGCCATTTGTGCCTTGCGAAGATAGTGCGCTGCCTCGCCCACGCCACGCAACTCCGCGCACTCTTCAAGCTGGCCAAAATCGGCCGGTGGCTCCGAGTATGGCGGCTGCGCCATCACCCCCTTACCCTTCGCACTGTCAACTTCTGCGGTACAATCTCGCTCTAACTTTAGCTCGTCGTCGGAGGGGTTAGGCCTCTCCGTGTACATACTGAAGAACTTTTCAACAAGCTTTGTATTCGATCCTTCTGCAAAGCTTCGATCTCTTCCTGCGCGGTATTTCTGAGTGCGCTACCCTCTGGTCAAGAAAATTTGAGACGCTAAACGTCCGGACAAAGTTGGGCCGCGTGCGGCGCTGTCGTGTAGCAGCGCGAGTGTTTTTTTCCGCGCCTAGTGCTAGGAAGCCATTTTCTGCCTCTTTGCGCTTGTTTGGGTAGATTTGCGACGCGAGGGGAACTCTGGGCCTTCTTGGTTGCACACCAATGGCAAATGCGGTGTATCTCGTTGCCATCAGGATCCTCCACCCCTCTCCATACATGCCGTGCATGTGGCCACCACAGCCATCTTTACGATCGTGTGCGCCGCTTGGACTCAGTGCCGCATCTCAAAGCTACAGTTCTCCATCCGCGCACCGCATAGTGTGTGTGTGTCGCTGTGTGTTATTATTACGAGCATCGACCACGCTAAGGGGCTGACCAATGTCGTCTCTGTGTCTCTGGCAAAATTGAACCGAAAACTGCTATTGGTGGCTAAAAATATGTCCAGTAAACGCTATTGAGGGCACGACCGGTTTATCGGTTATAACCGCTTAACCGGGATGCAGACGTGTCACGAGATTTTATAACCGCTATTCAGGGCATCCCGCTACCAGGGGACCGCTAAACCGGGCCCACGACTCTATGGACAGGCACAGTGCAGTGCATGATCTGATAGATACACATTCATGTGGCCGAAGCAGGACCCACACGGAGAAGGAAATCGGGGCATTCGGGCAGGTATCGTATGCCAGGGGGTCGGTGGGGGGGGCGTAAGCTTATGTTTGGCATGCCTTAGCGGTTAGACCATTGAGGGCGACCACGCGTCCTCGAGAGGACGGACCAGCCGGAGGGTTGTGGGACGGAATATGAATGGTGGGGTGTTGGTTGTGTTTTGGTTGTAGCTTGTTTGGTGCAGTTTTGGGGAGCATACGTGTACAGTATGCTGTGTAGCCAATAAGTACGATGGGTATTTCACTGCAGCAGTAGGAATAATGTCAGGGGTGGTGTGTTTATTTGTTCGGGATAATTAGTTTAGTGTCGTGTATGCATAAAAGTGTTGTGTGTGTTTTGATTTCGTATTTTTTTATCTTCAGCTTTGGGGACGAAAAATAACGATACTTGTACGTATAGGTGTGGGCGTATAGAACGCGCCACCACGTAGGAACTTACTCAGCAGTTAAGAACTTGAAGCTAAAAAATTCCAAAATAGAACTTGGCCAGTAAGAACAGGTGATCATTTCCGATGTGGCATTAAGAACAACGACCTGCCTACCTACCGTTCGTTTCCATTTTATCAACGTGATCAATTTCGAACTCTCCCAGACGTCATCTACAACCATAATCCATTCACGGGGTTGTTACACCTCTACTTAATTTTCTTGTTTATCCACTTCGTCCCCCAAGCTCCTCTCGGCAACCTCTCCTCTCCCATATGGTACATACCTATGGTACTACTTGCCATTTGAGCTTCCTTCCGCCTCTTTCCGAGCGTCGCAGGAGTCGGGTCCGAAGGGGGGGCGTAGTCTCGTTCTCATGTTTTGCATGCCATATAGGTTCGCCCATTGACCACGCGTCCCCGACAGGACGGAGCATTGTTCCCACAGGACCGATCACAGATAGTCACTCCTGCACCTCGCCAAAACGGTAGCTCATTTCTTTTTTTCCCAGCCTATCGGTCCTATCGACATGTGATCAGTTGCCGCCTTTTCAACCCACTTCAAGTACAGCTACCGTCTTCTCCTAGCTATTCCGTGCCTCGAACATCTCTCTGTATCCTTTCCTTCTACTTTATCCCAGCTCAGTCATACATTTCCTCTCCCTGTACAATGGCCATTCTGCAAGTACATTAACATGGTCTTCGCATTCGGAGCCGCATGCACCACATCTGGATTTGTCGTCTTCATCGCCTGCCTTCCTAAACCTTCGTTGATGTTCTCGAAGGCCAATGTCTCCAGTCCTAAAGTTGACGTTCAGCTTAGTCCCTGCATCCATTTGCCCGTGTAGGTTTTCCTTGAAATCCATTATTTCTTTCAAGATTCCGTACGCGTCCAGACCCTCCTTATCCTTGTTTTTTTTTGTTAGATTCCGTCCTTTTCTCTCGGCAAGAGCAACAGACACGCTTCTCCTTGCACCCCTCTCGACGTTCCGTTTCCAGTGTATCACCTTGGTCATTTTCGAACACCGTCCATGCGCCATCTGCATCATTAACCCACTCTGTAGGTTGGCACACCAATCCTTCTTGCTTGCCCGTTTCGTCTCCCAAGCCGTTGTCGGCAACCTCTCCTCTCCCATACCGCACATGTGGTACTTACATCTGGACCACCTAGGCAGGATTCTAATAATATCTATCTAGGAAAAGAACCGGGAGGGGGCACGCAAACCCTATCGCTGACCCTGACCCCAACCCGAAAGCACGGATTGAATATTTTATCCCATATGTTAAATCAAGTTTGCTGCGTTGGCCACTGTTCCAGATTGGGTAACCCCAAAGCACGGATTTATTACTTTTCCCCATGTGTTTGCTCTATCAATTTTGCTGCGTAGGCTACTGTTCTATCTGGGGGGCGATTTTACGTGGTCAAATCCACCCAACAGACCTGTGTTGCTCCTCTGCATAGGGCAATCGATGTAGAAACAAGAACAAGAACCGCGTTTCTCCCATGTGCATGCCTGCTCCATTTTTGGAACATAAAACATGTGCTCGGTTGGAGGCAACCAATCAGCGTCGAGCCTCAAGCTAAATACGTTAGGTACGCTCAATAAGCGGTTCTCATGCATAAGTGGTGGCGCGTTCTGTACACCAGTATTTCGTTGTTGTTTTCTGTCGTTTTTTTTCTTGGGGGGGGGAAGGACCATCTTGTATTGATTGTAGCAAATATCGATAGTTGGGTGTGTCTTATTTGGCATCAGGATTTTGATCTTTTCTTCCCTGTTTCTCCTGCTGAGTTGTTGATAGGGCAGGGTGAATGCACCCAGTAGGTGACCTACTTCCGCCCAAATGTTGAAACCAGGTTGGTTGGGCAGACACAGCGCAGAGGTGACCGCAACCATGACTACATCTGTGCAGAGCTCCAATAGTTTTTTTTTGTTTTTTAGGGTTAGCCGTGGATGCGTGGAGCGCAATGTGTTTTGGGTGTTGCAATACAATAGATGTCTCGGTAGTTTGTTGTTTTTTGTGTGACAAAGGCAGGTTTCGGCGTTAGTTAAACCAGTACGACTGTGTTTGGCGTGAGAATGACAGCAATAGCGCAGCAGCGACAAGAAGGATTCACGAACTTTTTTTCTAACGCAGCGGACGGGGCTTGAACCTTATTTACATGTGGTATGCTACTTGTGTGCCAAGAACTCCCCCCCCCCCCCCCCCCCC